GCAGGAATGGACCTTAAAGATTATCGAGTCCAACTCCTTCATACTGCAGATGAGGAAACTGAGGCCCCAAGAGGTTAAGTGACTTGCAGCAGACCCACTAGGAGAATGTCTACTGGTATACAATGTTCCCTACTTGACACTAAGCACTGATTTATATTTTAATTATGTACATTAATTGAAAAACATAAAAAGTAATCTTGCAAACATTGCATACACACTGCGAATCCCCACTGAACCCCAGACGCCATTTCTTCCACTATTTTGTTCCAGCTGAAGTGTCTCCCTTTTGCTGCTGGGAGGAGTTAGAGAGGGTAGAATAACGTGTTTAAGAGTGTACAAACCTGGAAGAAGGACTTACACACCAGTCAAACAAAGGCATACTGCCTAAATGAAATGTTAACTTTAATGCCTCCAAAGGTCCCACACCTCCAAGTTTTATGTAGTCTGTGCTATATATGGCCAAACCTGGTACATTTAAATTCATTCTGTCTTCATTTAACATAATACACCTCCTAAGCAACAGAAGCACCCAACCTGCTAATCAAATATGCCTATCTACTCAAAACTTTAAAGAATTTAAGAAAAAGAAAGGTAACTATATTAACAAAATATAGATGTTAGTTACAATTTTTTTGCTTAGAATCTCTTTGCGGGGTGGGGGGACTCTTAAGGACATTTCCTCTAAGTAAAATGGTAAGCCCTAGGAAATGAATGTTTTATTTTTAGCCTTAAACTGATATCGTCATTGATGAATGAAAACCTACTGGTGAATTACTGAAGCGAGAACTGTTGGTACCAAAATAGATTTTGAACACCACTAAACTAAAAACTTTCATCTAGGAAGTGATTCAATTATCTAAATTAATTTGTTTTTCACATGTGAATAACAAAAAAAGGTTAAAACTTTACCCCTTTCACATGGTCTTATTTTGAAGAGCTTAACTCAAAAGTCAACTAAATACTATCATTTTTAGGCGGGGTAAGATTTTGTTCAAATTGTTTTAACTTGGTTAAAAAGACTTAAAGAACATATTAATTTACAACCAGGTTTATAAAATTTTAAGAATAGTAATTTATAGCTAAAATGATAGCTTCAGAGCAGTTCAACAATAGGTTTTCTAGAGGCTAGTCTCTAGTTAAAGTAGGTTATTTTTGACACCACAATTTGGAATAATTAATTTAGTGTTCACGCCTGCTACTATAATAAAGGTTATTTTGATGGTCCTTTTTTCCTTTTAAACACAACTGCTTTTGTTCCACATTCATTAACACATCTGAAAAGTTAGTGATAACTCACGGCTCGGCGAATGCGGGGCCTTTCTGACACTCCCTTGCAGACTGAAGTAGGCAGGCATAGATACATTGAACCTTTACAAATAAAACAAGGGGCCAGATTGTTCAGTCTGTATAGAATAGACTCTGCCAGCAATTTCAATATAGCATCTAGAAGTACATGTTGACTGTAAAGATTCTTGTATATGAAAACAAAAGTGAACAAAATCAGGGTTTTGGGGGTTTTTTTGTTTTGTTTTAAAATATTGACTTAACAAGTGTAACCCTAGAGAAGAATATGACTGATCACAGGTAAAAGTCCAAGGCTGGAGCTCTGTAAAGTGGTCCTTGGGCAAACTGGCGTTTTGAAAAATGTTTTTTTATGAAGTATATTTCATCAAGACTTTGGTGAGGGCCTTAAGCTCATGTCAGAATGGTACTCTGATGAGCTCACACCAGAATGGCAATGTTTTATTAGAGGCTTTTTGCTTTCTCGCATGTACCCAAATTATGCTAAGAAATTTAAAGATAATACAAATTTTTGAAGAAAAAAAAACTTACATATCTAGAAGTCTCCCTGCTACAAGTTTCTAAGTTTTTCAGTAATGCAACAGCAGTATTGTTTCAGTGCTTTGTCAAACTAATGGCTCAAGAATATGACAAGCCAGGCCTTCGACTAAAATCAAGATTCTCAGAAGTTTTACTAGTCAAACATTTCTTCTGAAATCACGACATAAATCTAGTATTAAGACATATGTGCCTTGAAGACACTGCTATCAGATAAAGTGAGAACAATTCCAAATATGAATTAAGCAAAATTATCCCTGAGGACCTTTAAGTGTCAGTTTCTATAAATGCCAAAAAGTATTTTTAAATAACTCCTCACTACATACGAATGGTTGCTCTATAAACATTTGATAACTGCAGCAAACACAATAAATACAGCTATCAAATATCAGCCTGTACAGTACAGAAATCTTTGTAACAATGAAATAATAAAATTCCTAATAATTTGAGATACAGAAGTACCCTGAGAGGGACTAGCAACTGAATATGTTTATTGATATTTTTTAAATTTTACTTGAGAGACTTTAAGATTAACATTTTAAAATAATTTGACTATATTACCACACAGTATTTAATAAATGTATTTTATTTGGGCTTAAGCCATGAAAGTATAATCTGGCTAAACCAACAAAGAATTTTAAAATAAAAATACTAGTAATACAAACTGTCAATATATCTGGCCCAAACCATGTTTTTCAAAACAAACTAGGTAAAACAGCACCCACTAAAAAACAAAGGAGGGGGGAGGGGGGAACTATAATTAATAAGGAACAAATATGAACCAAATCTCCTTATAATACAAGGAATTACTTTATTATTCAATGTACTTTATCTTTGGGTTTTCTGGGTATATATTCATTATAAAAATAACCTAAATTAAAAGAACAATTGCTCTGTTACACTAATATTGGATCCAAATAATAGAATCAAGCCCAATACTGAACATATCCTCTGTGCTAGGCAATGGGATTACAAAGAGGCATTTAAGACAAGCTCTCTACCCTCAAGGAGCCCCTCATTTTCCTAGAGAAACAGGATATTTAAATGCAGTAACAAGTAATAACAAAAGGAAGCACGATCCAAGTGCCAGATGAATGTCTGTAACGGATGAAATACTACCAAATAGTAGTACTTCAGGAATTCTAAGACTAGAATGACCACCAAGGACTGAAGAGGTTAGAGAAGGCTTCATGCAATGAGTAGAAGCCATTATTTGAAGGAAAGACAGGACTTAGACCAAAGGAAAGGGGAAAGAAGAGCATTCCAAACTGGCGGTAATACCTTTGACAAAGCTTGTAGAGGCAGGAAGGTTTGGGAAACAATAAGTCAGTCGTATCTGGCTTTGGCAAATGGCTTCATGTAGGGGAATAGCAAAGCTGGGGCAAGAATAATATTTTTAGGGTAAAATCTGATTTAATTTTTTCTGCACCCAGATTTTAAATGTGTAAACAAAGAAAAAAGTTTAAAAATAATGGGGCGGAGGTTAGACCAAGTTATTTGAGTTCACAACAACAAAATGCCCTATCCATAAAAACATGGCAGGCTCTCTATGACCTCCATAATACTAATTAATTAGGCTTTGTACATAACTATAATGATGAGATTTGAGATTAAAACCTTGATTTAGAACTTTGAAAGGGAAAGTGTTCTTCATCTGAATGGAAGCATCAAAATTTCTATTAATGTTTTTTCTACCAAGCAACTACCTTCAGAGTAACAACCCTCTTAACCTCTGTTGTTCAACCCCTTCATGAGTTTCATGAATCATAACCTATATCTGAGAACACCTGAGTCACAGGTATACAATAAAAACTGGAATAAATATTATTCCTCTCAAGGTCTTTCAGTCACGTTAACAGAGCATGAGGTGCTACTGAGGCAGTTTCACCCAGGGAATATGGACAGCCCACTCTGAAAAGAAGGCTTCTGTCCAAACTACTCAAATATTGCTATTCTCAAAATCCCCTTCAATCTGCAGGGAGGGAAAGATAAACCCACTATAAATCCCAACACTGCCATTTTATGGTCCTGCCCTTTCTGAAACAGACTTAAACTGTAGTAGCAACACTTAAAAATCTTAGCCTAGACGGTATCTGACATCATTTTACATGGTGCATGCTATTTTCCCAATATCCACCCCCTCCCTTCCAGCGCCAACCACCCTCTCCCTCCCATACAAACAATAAATCAAATCAACTTTCATAGATTTAGGTGCTATTTTAAAAACATCAAAATTTTACTTTACCCATTCTCTCCGATGCTCCCTGTATTTTTTTAAGCTGTGAGTGGATGACCATGCTATGTGATCAACAACTGTGAAGGCTAAGCAAAAGTGAACTGAGTTTAGTATTGTAATTTCAAAAGAACCTTAAACTTTGTAATATTTGACATATATAATGGTATGCAGAATCCTTATTTTACCGCATTTTATCAGGCATTAATGGCAAGCAATTTATAAAAAACAACTAGTATTTCTTTTGTACAGAATCAGCTAAGAGCTTAGCTTAGAGAAAACAGAGAGGAGAAAACTCAACAGCACACAAAGCAAATGGAAGCATCCTAGTTTATAAATGGGGCCAGAAGAGGAAAAGCTCTCCCACATTCTCCAATGTGACAACCAAAGCCCTCCCCACAGGCATACTTGTTAGGGGCCACATGTCACTGTTGGCTTGGGACAGGGCAGGCACATTCCCTCTGAAATAAATTCCATACCCTTTCAGTGAAAGGAAAGCCAGAGCTAGAAAGTGAGGTGTATAAGCCTAAAGCTTCTCATTTCCCTGTGCCCTCAAATCTTCAAATGTTCCACCTTCTTATTACCTACAACATAAGCTAGGACTCCACATAATAACGTGGGAACTATATAAAGACCAATTTCT